CATGGCTGTGGACACGCTGCTCAGAGGTGTCCTCCGCAGGTCTGAGACCATCACACCGGCCCCGAGACCGAGCCGGAAGTGGCGGGGCGGAGGCCGTTGCGACGCCGGAAGGGGCCGACGGAACACGCGACTTGTCCCTTCGCGTTCTGCTCTGCCAGGGCCCAGGGTCCCTTCCTGGCGCTCACCCTAAAGCAGCGGTTTTCAACGGGTGTGCCGCAGGAATTTTGGAAACATGCAGTACCTATTTAGTCAGGGGACCTTGACTTCTTTTCCCTTAACTGTCAAATTTAAAAAATGCAACCCAGCCCAGCCTGTGTGTTGAGAGTGGAGCTTTGATTCCCAGTCAGGGCACATGCCCAGGCTGCGGGGCTCCATCCCCGGGGGAGGGGGGGGGGGGGCGTGCAGGAGGCAGCGGATCAATGATTCTCTCCCATCATTGATATTTCTATCTCTCCCTCTCCCTTCCTCTCTCTGAAATCAATAAAAATGCATTTTAAAAAATGACAAACCAACCCAACAATAAGCCGTCTGTTGTGAATGAATCAAAATTATACCTCTTTGCCCTAGCCGGCTTGGCTCAGTGGATAGAGCATCGGCCTGCGGACTGAAGGGTCCCAGGTTCGATTCCGGCCAAGGGCACATGCCTGGGTTGCGGGCTCCATCCCCAGTGTGGGGTGTGCAGGAGGCAGCCAATCAATGATTCTCTCTCATCATTGATGTTTCCATCTCTCTCCTCCCTTCCTCTCTGAAATCAATAAAGAAAATATATATATATACCTCTTTTTTGTCAGATCGTCAAAAAATATATACTTTTTGGTGTGTCCCAGAACTTTAGTAATTAATTTATGTGTGTCATGAGTGAAAAAGGTTGAAAATTGCTGCCCTAAAAGCATGGAGATCGCCATCACCACATAGGACTCCACAGCCAACAGCTAGACCGGGTGGCACAAGGGTAACTCCTCTTGCCTCAGAGCCACTGTCCTTTTCGTTAAATACACTGAAGAAATAGGCGTGGGATTCCCTCCCGCCGCCCCCGTCATCTTGTACCCAAGCAGTTGAAGTCCTGCATTCTCATCACAACTTGATACTTTCCTGCCAGGCTGTTTCATCTTGAAAGGTGTTTGCTGGTTTCTTTCTGAAAGAGCTGCATTTAATACCAGTCTTTGCAGGGGAAACCTCGGCATGATCTCCCCTACTCAAATTGATCACTGTGCCTGGTTGCAAAGAATAATTCAGAAAGGATATTCAAGTAATATCTGCAGACGTCTCATGATTATTTCTGGTCTTACGTTTTTCATCGTTTATAACCTGATGACCAAATCGATGCCTCACAAAAGGAGAAACGGAAGGACACCAAGTCAGGATGATCTGAAATGAAAACTGGACGCCTTTGGGCTTTTGGGTCTTTGGGCCTTTTTAAACTCTCTTGAGCATTTTTAAATAGAAATAAATTTGGGCTTCACAAAAAAAATAAATAAATAACTTTTCTGCCTGCCCTAACCGGTTTGGCTAAGTGGATAGAGCATCGGCCTGCAGCCTGAAGGGTCCCAGGTTCGATTCCGGCCAAGGGCATGTACCTTGGTTGTGGGCACATCCCCAGGAGGGGGTGTGCAGGAGGCAGCTGATCGATGCTTCTCTCTCATCGATGTTTGTAACTCTCTATCCCTCTCCCTTCCTCTCTGTAAAAAACTCAATAAAATATATTTTTAAAAAAAACACACAAAAAACTTTCCTGCCAGTTGTCTCACCTATGAAATTGACCTGGCTGTCATCCCATCTTCACTGACAAAACCCCTCAGGACTGCTTGGTGCTGATAGGTCACCTTTTGACTCCCCATAATTTACAGGAAGTTCCTCGTTCTTATTTAAATTTTTTTTCTTTTTTTTTCAATCCTCACCTGAGGGTATGTTCATTGCTTTTAGAGAGAGAGGAAAGGAAAGAGAAACATGGATGTGAGAGAGAAACATAGATTGGTTGTCTCTTATACACACCCCAACTGGGGACCGGAACCCACAACCTAGCGATGTGCCCTGACTGGGAATTGAACCCATGACCTTCAGTGTACCAGATACTCCAAACAACTGGCTCGAGCTGATTGTTCTTATATAAGTGGTAAATATTGGACTGGGCATGCTATTTTTTATGATTTTTTTTCTCACGAATTTGCATGCCTTTCTTGTGCAGGGGCTAATCTCTGTTTCGTTCCAATTTTGGTCTACGTGCTGCCGAAGCGAGCACTGGGTATGCTATTTTTTAAAATATGTTTTTATTGATTTTAGAGAGAGAAAGGAAGAGGGATAGAGAGATTGAAACATCCATCGACTGCCTCCTACACACCCCCTACTGGGGATTGAGACTGCAACCCAGGCATGTACCCTGACCTGGAATCGAACCAGTGACCTCTTGGTGCATGGGTTGATGCTCAAGCCACTGAGCCACACGGGGTATGCCATTATAGCTACTTTTGAAGTCATCAAGGCAGCACTTTGCCTCTGGCTACCTCAGCCCAGCTGACTGAATTACACACTTATCTAGTTTGTGCTCTTGCCAAGGGCAAAACCAAACATTTATATCAATAGTTGCTATGCCTTTGGGGTAGCTCGTGACCACAAGGTTTCCTTACCTCTAATGGGGATACAGCTAAGTATGGCTCTTAAGACCAAAAACTATTAGATGCCATACTCCTACCCGCCACCTTGGCTATTAAAGTATTGGGCATTCCCAACTTGACTCCCTGGAGGCTAAAGCAAACAGCCTCACTAATATATTTCCACCAACAACACTGCTCTCAAAAGAACCAATAGCCAAACCTCTGTCATGGTACAAAGGGAGGCTCCCCAAATGATAATGTAGAAAAACTGACTAGGAATGCTCTAAAATTGGCCCCATTAAAGGAAAAACAATACTGGAACTCTAATAATTATTGGTTTGATGAAAAGAGAGAACTCTGGCTTGAGCCAAATAACAATCCACTCCTGCCAGAAATTCTAAGTTCCCATTACTGTCCATGCATTGAATTGTTGGTCACTGATAAAATTATAACCGTTATGAACCAATACTGTTGTGTAAATGTTATTAAGACCACAAAAAGCATCTACTTTTCTTGCCCCACCTGCCCAAAAAATAATCCAAAAGAAACTGTCCACACCACCCACAAACATTTTAAATTGCCTGACAGATCATTCAAGGTGTGGCAAATGGACTTCATTCATCTAACCCCCCACCCCCACCCCACCCTATCTCATAGATACAAGTATGTCTTGGTAATAATTTGTGTTTTCCCCTTGGGTCAAAGCCTTTCCACGTTGACAAGCTACATGTCTCTTCAGTGCCTAATCCTATTGGTGGGGGGGGGGGGGGGATCATCCCTACCTGGGAAACCCCTCTTGAGCTCCATAGTGACTGGAGAACCAGTTTTACTGGTCAAATATTACGGCTAGATGGTGCTATTTGGCCAGTTCTATAGCATTTTCACTTGTCATCCTCTGTACTCAGGACTAGTTGAACAAGCCAACGGTATTATCAAAACTCAATTGGCAAAATTTGTGGAAACCCTCCAAATACCTTGGCTGAAAGCGTTGCCATTGGTCCTTCTAAATCTCAGATCCACCCCCTTTAGAACTCATAAGCTCTCAGCCTTTGAAATAGTCATAGGGTGCCTGATTCACCTAGCCCCCACCTCTTTTGATCTACAGCTAAAAAAAGAGGTACATTTCAATATTCCAAAAGTCTGTTGTGTCCATTGAAATTGACCATGTTTGGCCCTAGCCAGTTTGGCTCAGGATATAGAGTGTTGGCCTGTGGACTGAAGGGTCCCAATTTCGATTCCGACCAAGGGCACATGCCCAGGTTGTGGGCTCAATCCCGTGGGGGTGTGCAGGAGGCAGCCAATCAATGATTCTCTCTCATCATTGATGTTTCTATCTCTCTATCCCTCTCCCTTGCTCTCTGAAATCAATAAAAATATTTTTTAATAAAAATAAAAGAACTATGTTTGCCCTGGCCAGTGTGGCTCACTGGCCAGAGCACTGGTACACACACCAAAGGGTCTCAGGTTCAATTTCCAGTTAAGGGCACATACCTGGGTTGTGGGTTTGCTCGCCCCCAGTTGGGGCTTGTTCGAGAGGCAACCAATTGATGTCTCTCTCACATAGATATTTCTCTCTCTCTCTCTCTCTCTCTCTCTCTCTCTCTCTCTCTCCCCCCCCTTCCACTCTCTCTGAAAAGCAATGGAAAAATATCCTCAGATGAGGATTTAAAAAAAAGAAAAGAACCATGTTTTAGTTTGCAATAGCAAACACCATCTGCTGCACATGGATAAATTCTTCTGGATAAGTAGAAACCCAATTACTCAAAATTTAGGGAACGAGTCCACTGGTTACAGCAAATTCCACCTGATTCTCCATGGTCCTTTGACCTATTTAGCTGGTTACCTCAGGTCTGAGCTCTTGATTTAGGACCATTATACAAAGTGGATTATATTCTGCTCATTTTTTTTTTTGGTAT